GTCGCAAAACAAAATGACAATAGTGAACAAATCTGTTCAGCTCGCTTTCCTCTACTTCCTCTTTAATTATTCCTTGTTGACAGGATTCATATGTGGCCCGGTGAATCCAGATGGTCAGCATTAATTGAGTACAATCAAACCCAAAATAAACATCCCTTCCATGTAAAATGCATTCAATTTTAGATGTAATTTGCCTGATTGGAGGAGAATATTAATGCGCTGTCCTGTAATGAGTTCTAATGAATGATGAACGGAGTAACATCTTATTTCCTGTTCTATTTGTCACATGTCATTAGCCATTCAGTGTGACTAATGGGAATGGAGGTTGTTAAAATGTTGGGAAGGACTGAATAAGTAGATCCTTTAATAATATTTTAGTTATTTTGGCTTGATGGGGATGAGCGGTTTTTTTCCCCACAAGAACATTTTACTTGATGAGTTGATGCCCAGTAAATACTGTATTTTCATTCAGATAGAGCTGTAAGTTCAAAACAGATGTAAGTTTGGTTGGCTGATATTGTTGTTGCTGCTTCTACCAAAGTTTGAATGAAAAACTATCAATTGCCCCAAGAAAACTCTTTGAAATGTTGAAGTTTACAATATTTGGTTCCTTCTGTTGTAAATTTACTTTACCCCTCATTGTATTTAACAGAGGGAATGATCTTTTAGAGTTTTTAGAATAAAACTCTAAATTCATCCCTTTAGAGTTTTATTCAAAACATCCTAGTAATTAAAAGGGTAAATGATACCATGACTTCTAAGAAGATTCTCAAGACTTTTCAAAGAAAATGAGGTCCACAGCATCTTGTATTGTTTGTGTCACACCTGAGAGGTCACAAGGGCAAAGGAGGTGTGTCAAAGGATTTCCAAGTACAATATGACAGACCATTACCTGCTGCTAACTGTAGCTTAAAAAAGTGGCTGTTGGTGGTGATTTTAAGTTTATTTCTTGTATCAAAATACAGAGGAAGAAAGTTAGTTGGCTCCATACAGTAAAAGAAAATTAGCTGCATATGGCGAATACAGTAGAATTTAGTGTGACATAGGTTCAGTGGCCTCTGTTCCCGGACACATAAAACACAAAATAATTGGGCTCATGATGTAAATGGAGAGAGATCTTGTGCAGTCTGATTGTCTCCTTCCAGTGGCCGACTACTTAGATTAGGATTGTGCACCCTATAGACTGATTAGCGGAAATCAATGCTAACACAACAGTCATCTTGGTGCATTTGTCATAATTAATGTCATTGCACTGTAACTCATTTACCCACCACAGCATATTTTGATCAGATAAGTGAAATATTTTGTTAGTTAGGGCTCACATGTTCAAAGATTAGATTCTGCATTTGTGTAACAAAAGTATGTGATTATATCTAAAAGCTTTATATTGTTTTAAATATAAATTTAAACTTTAGGATGGTTAAATTTGGCTATATTTGTATTCAATTTGTATGCATATATATTAGTTTGTAAGTACTGTCCTAACTGAATATTACATTAAAAGTCACCTTAAAATTATCTTACAATTGCTTCTCTTATATCTGTTAATGTAGATCTTTCACATTCATATAAATATTCAAACTTTAATAAATTGGGCTGTTTCGTAAATTCAGCAAGCATTTAGTGGTAGGCAGGGTACACAGTGGACAGATTGTCAGTCCATCACAGGGAAACAAAGAAAACAAACAACCAAGCACACACGCATTAACACTTAAGAAATGTTCAGAGCAACTAGTTAATCTAACAAAAATACTTTTGGACTGTGGGAGGAACCAGAACAAATGCAGGCATGGAAAGAACATCAAACTCCATGCAGAAAGATCCTTGGCCTGGACTTGAACCTCAACTGTGCAGGCCTGAAAAAAACAACAACATATTTTTTCTGCTTTAAAAATGCATTAAGGATTATTTTCAGAATATAACTGACAAATTATCTTTAAATTATGCAAGAGTAGGTTGCAAATTCCTAATTAAACTAAACCAGATTTCAGGGGAATAATTTGTACCTCCAAAATAAAGTTTACAGCTGTGCTTCTAAATAAATGATCAATGTCTCATAGGTTAGATCATTGCAGCACTGTGTTCTAAATTCCCCATAGATTTGAACTAAAAAGAAAGTGATGGTGTCTGACCTTTTACATAAAGGTCATTAGTGACCTTTTACATAAAGGTCATTAGTGACCTTCAAAATAAAGGTCTTGCTCTTTCAAAGAAGAGAATTTGAAAATCCATCCATCTTTTCATTATCTTCTGTTTTATCCAGGTTTGAATCAGAAACAAAAAATACATTAATGAGTTGGACGTCAAAGTGTCTTTAAAACAGTTTGTTTCTTTATTCCACTTTGCTCTTAATTCAGGTTGGATAATCTTGGTTATTTTGACTCCATCACTCTTAGTATTTTCTCCTTTACTATTTCTGTCTCACTCACACAAACATTCAGACACAACCCGGTGTAACTATGACTCCAGTTGCCATAACATTTGTCTGCCATGAGTTCCCTAATAATCAGACAGGAGGGGAAAAGGTTGTGGTGATCCAACTTTTGGCATCGACCACAGTTATGTGTTATGGCTGCAATGTGTCTGGAGAGAGTCTGTTAGCCCACCCAAGCTAGTGTGCTGGTATTCGAAAATATACGCATGTAGATAGACATGCACATATTTAAAATTGTGTCAAAGGGATTTAGACATTGTTTTGTAATATAAGGCTTACATTCAACATAAATGAAAGAGCATATGTTACCCTGCTTTGTGCTTTGTCTCATCTTCTGTGTGACACATGCTGTTAAGGTATAGTCAGTGGTTAAGGCCCTCGTCTTTGTCTATTGTTGGTCAAATTATTTCATTGGCAGAGTGCGAGGAAGCTCACAGAATGATTAAACTAAAGAAGAACAGAACTAGAATGAAAACCCACACCAAAAATGGCACTTTGGTGTGGAAATAGTTCAACTGAAACCTTTTACATGCATAAAATGTCAAGTTGCAAAGAAAAAGAAATGGAGGAATGTGCATAAAAGAAAAGAAACATTAGAGATGGTATACTTTGTGATCACAAAAGGAATGTATTCTCAAGGCTTTTAATGTTTACTTACACTGTGGCAAAGAGATTGCAGTTGACTGGATTGAAAAAAGATCCAGTGATGACTCATTTACAGTTTACCAGAAGAGCCCACCAGATTTTTATGCAAATAGGAAAATTCAAAAACTTTATTACAATTCAGTGTTTTTCCAAGACGAACTAAGCAACAACATCAGATATCATCTACTATGATGAGCTGTGGATATTTATTTGCCATCCACATCTTAATTCTTTGTTTCTAGCAAAATCACTTGGACTCCCACATGTTCATAACTCCACACTTTTATATTTATGGTGGTTGGACAAAAAGGCATTTTGTGTGGCTGTACTTCAAGAACCTAGAGTCTAATGGTTCTTAAAAAGATTTGATGAACCCAAGATGCCACCCTTTGCAGCAGCAGTTTTATAGTGATCTTTGGAGGTTTTATTATGTCTCCCACCCTTTGCTATTCTGCACATTCTGGATGGTGGAAAGATAAAAGTGGGGCCTTGTCCAACCTAAAACCCAGTAGCTAAAACAAATGGGCCTTTGTGTCATGTTATATTTATACCCCATGGAAACAGAAGTTGTGTGTTTTATATATGAAGTTTGCAGATATTCTAATGAACTTAAAAAAGTGGATAAAAAAATAAATAAATAAATAAATAAAAAACACATCAGTCATTTATATTAGAAATTATGTATTTGGGAAATTAATAATTGCTATGATCATTATTTTGTTTGAAATTATTTATTAAAATGAGATATTTTTTCCTTTTGAAAAATTCTAAGTTGTATTTCGCTATTATTTCTATTTTTTGTGTTTATGCTACTAAAATAAAAGATACATTTATTGCCAAAACGTGTGACCAGCACTTTTCTAAGAACTGTACATCATTTAATTAACCACAAAGAGAAAGTGGGAAAGAAACACCTTTTGTGGGCGGAAACAGCTAATTCCTCACAAGTAGGGCTGACGGAACAAAAAACCATCCAATAAGGATGTCTTTTGAAGCATAAGTTCATTAAGGTCAGACTATATTTTTCTTTATCTATAGTAAGAGGGAATATTTGAATATTTGTTCATCGTAACAATATTTTACCAACAGAGCATACCAAAAGTGTTTTCATTTCTACAACTGACATCTGTTTAATATTGTTTGCAAACCCCTCAGATATTTTCCACATCTTAGCTTAATTTATTAATTTTGTATAGAGCTGACCTTGTGGTCCTTAAACAGATTCTTTGACTTTTTCTTTAGCATTTCTTTCCTGATGAAATCTAGTGTTCGTACATCATGTCAACTTAGAACAAAACTGTGTTGTCAGTCAGATTTTAGTTGTGTGGAATCTATGAAACTGCAAAGTGAGTTTTTTCATTCAAAACAAAGTTTGTTTGTATCTGCATGAAACATTGTTCATCATAGGAACATTGTTTTCTCTCCTTCTTAACATTTGACATTTGAACAAAGTTTGTCTCTACCGACGAGGCATTGTAATGCATTTAGTTTCCTGTTCTTACCTGGATAATCTAAATGCATTTTTTGGGTCCATTTAAATGGTATAATGTATTATCAAAAGTCCATAAACTCTTCCCTAACAAGGTTATCAATATACCAGCAGAACAAATTTTTGCTTGAAATTAGCCACATAGCTTACATTGGTTGATAGTCACCAGGTAGTTAGGGACTGCAGTGTTTGAATACAACTCTCTGTTTTAGCTATCAGCTTTATAATGCATTTTGTCAGAAAGTACAAGGTCTGAGATTCTGCATGAACCTTTCATTTTCATGTCTTCCTGCTATTTGTAACAATAACTTGCTGTTACTTAAAGAGTTTGGATTTTGAGTTGATGGAATCATATTGTGGGAATCTAAATTTGATCACAAAATATAGAATATGGTTTTAAAATGTGTGTTCTCTCTTTGTGTTTTTGCACAGTGAGGAGGATGAGGAGACACAGCTTAACTCACATGAATCTGCTGTTGTCAAAACTATGATGAAAGGATCTGCTTCAAACCATGGTAAACACCATTTTTATGTTGATAAGATGGACTTAGAATTTATGGTTATTCCCTTTTTCACTTTGTCACAAACCCAGTAAATAGCAGATGCAAATATTGCCAGCTGCCATCATTGCATCCTGTCAAAAAAATCAGATTTATGGCCCTGATATTAGGGTGTAGAAGTGTGTTGCCCAGTTACCAAATAGAATTTTAAACAATATGTTCCTTTTAGCTGTTAATACATTATTTTGCTCCTACTGTCGGGGCTACATAAAATTTGTTAAATGGTGCATAAATTATTGTGACAAATCTGTTAGAGCCATTCCAGGTAAGCCATGTTGCTTTTACAGAAGGCAACGTTGGGCAACATATTTAAACAACATAAAATCCTGAACACAAATGTGGTATGGATCATTTAGCTATATAACTTCTATAATTGTGTATCATATTTATTTTATATATTGTTCAGTTCTCAAATAAATAAATAAATATATATATAAATATATCTATATATATATCTATATATATATATATATATATACATATATATATATATATATATATATATATATATATATATATATATATATATATATATATATATACATATATATATATAATGCTTTGTATATATATATATATATATATATATGTATATATGTATATATATATATATATATATATATATATATATATATATATACATATATATATATATATACATATATATATAGAATTGAACAAAAAATGTGTTTTCATCTTTGCAAACATACACAAAAAAAAGATCCTCTTGGCTCTCACTTCTCACCTAATGGGAAACTGCTTTACAGTTGTGAAACCAAATGTTGTTAGAGTCAATTTGCGAGGGGGAAAATGAACTTACTTTCCGTGGCTGAGGCTCAACATATGTTATGAAATAGGTCATTGCAGTTTTTCTTGTGTTTTTCCTCAGTGGAAAGCCATTAAAAAATCCACATTGGCCTCTGGCACCCCACTCAATGCCACATGCAGTTGCTCTGTTTTGTCAGAAAGATAATATTTATAGAGAACCTGTTAGGAGTAATGAAAAAAATGTTTTGGAGGCAAGCGGCATAAAACTGAGGAATGTTTTTGAGTCCTCAACTACTGTAGTCAGAGTTGATGTTCTGTCTGCTTTTATTTTATTGATAGAGTATATATAATTTATTTCTAAATATGAGAAAGTGTTTTCCTCCTTACATTATTATTATTATCAAATCTAAACACCAGACAAAGGCAACCTCAGTTAAAGCACCACACGTTTTCCACATATTAAGGTATATGCGGGAAAAGTATTTGACTGGATTTAAAGAAAGACCCGCTGGTAAAGATTTAATTTATTAGTGGAGTCCATCAGATTTTATTGAATATAGTAATTCAAAAACTTTATGATACAATTTAGTCTTTTCCCAGACAAACTAACCGACAGCATCACAGATCATCTACCACAATTAGCAGGAGAATTATGGTAGAGTCTTTGTTCCTAGCAAAATCACCTTGAGTGTCACATGTTTCATAACCCCACATTTTTATGACCATGATGTTTTGGACAAAAAGGCATTTTTTGTGGCTGTACTTCAAGTACCTAGTGGTCTAATGGTTCTTATAAAGATTTGATGAACCCAAGATGCCACTCTATGCAGCAGTTTTATAGTAGTATTTGGGGATTTGTTTTTGTCTGCCAACCCTTGCTATAACACACAATAAGCATGGTGGGAAGATAAAAGTTACCTTTCCTTAAACCACATATACAAAAACATCTGAACATCTGTACTGTGGAGATGAAAAGCTAAACTCTATGTTTAGCCAGGTGCCCGACTTTTAGTGTAGCGGCTGTCTTGGTGGTCCATGTGTGACTTTGTGTGCTCTTGGCTGTATGTGTGCATGCACATAAACTTTAGGAATGTGTTAAAAGTAAAAATATTCGGTGTGCTTCTAAAGATGGATGTGATTAATTCATGGCTGCGACAACAGTGGTCAGCGAGCAGTGTGCACCTTCATAACACTTGCTGAGTGTGTAGTCAGAGAGGTTAGAGGTCAAATGTCCTACAAATCACAAAAACATTCTGACAAAGCTTTTGACACTGTGAGACCTTTCTTTTGATGTTTTTGCAGTAAAAGAAGATAAAAATTCAACATGAGTAAATTAAATAAATCTGTAATAGCTGTAAAGCTGTAGCAGCAAAAGTGAACAAGAAAATGTAAAGATGGCACTGAAAACTACAGAGATACAAAAAAAGAAATTCTCCTGGGAAGGTTTAAAAACAAATGTGAAATTTCTGACCTGCTTGGTGATTCTTCTTCTAGTTCTGGCTCTGATGTCTCCACCAGTTAGCATTGTTGTATTTTTGTAACTTCAAATGTTTTTGTTGTCATTACAGTAGCAGATTATTTACACACCCCTTAAATATTAACAATACAAATTTATTGCATAAACTGTGGCTGAATGTAACCCAGGTGAGGCAAAAGACAGTTGGAGGATACAGACCTCAGATTGTAGGCTATGTATGTACTGTATTTTCTCAGGACTTACACTTTTGAGTATAAGTTAGTCAAAAAACATGACACGAAGAGGAAAGAAAAACATATATAAGTCGCACTGGACTAAGTCACATTTATTTAGCAATTGTCAAACATGAGGGAAACCTCATCCCCTCATGTTCGACATGACGGGAATGGAGGTTGTATTCTGTGTAACCTGTTTTTTAATGAACTGTCGACTCTGGCTTGGCTTGCACATCTGTTGGCCCATTATGACTAACCAAAAGTGTGCAGTGCACTGCATGCAGTCTAGGGTGATAGGTGGTTGTGTTACATTGATCAACAACACCATGAAGGCCCATTTGCAAAATTAATCTTCTAGATAACTAAGAGCTCTTCTAGGCATATCAGCACCATTGACAAGCCTTTCTGCAAGCAGTTCATGTCAGTCAGTATTAATTAGTATTTAACTCAAAAAATGTGTCAAGAGGAAAAAAACAAATATAAGTCGCACCTAAGTCATAGGACCAGAAAAAGATTTTAAATTATAGTCCGGAAAATATGGCATACATATATTTTGTTGTAAACTACATTGACCATCTGAGAATAAAAATTGTTACATTACCATTTTAGCAACGTTTGTGTGAATATATATAGGGATGTATTTCTCATTAAAATTTCACCCGGGCAGTTAAAGCCAGGCCAGTCCCTCAGTAAGCCGCCACATATGAAATTTCTTTGATCTGAACCATTGTAGTCCAGTTAGTGGTGTATATTTAGGATTTTGATCATGCAGGAGCAGAATCCTCCATCTATTCTCTTTTTCTTTTCTTTTTTTAATTGTCATTTTCCTTTTCACCTCTTTTGCACTTTGTGTCTGTCACATAAATTCCAGAGAAAATATATTGAAAATGAAGGCTTTAATCTGACAAAATGTGAAAAGGTTTTAAGGTGTTTTGCAGGCAATTTTTTTATACCTATATATTTTATCTTTAGCAAAGCAACATTTCATTTTGCTTTCCTGCAACTCTTGTAGGTCGAGGAGTACAGAGTGGTTTGATCACTCCATCTTTTGGAATGAAGGGTAATGGGAGTGCCAGTGTCCTCAGGGGTCCTGTTCCAGCCCGACCAGTGCCTCAACCCCACCCCAAAGATGAGGACACTCTGGTCCAGATGGCAGAACACATTCCTGCTGGGATGCGAACCCCAATGTGTGCCCACTGCAACATGGTGATCAGGTTAGAAACTACTGTTGGAACTAATGTCAAAAGTTTTTCTCACAGGTTGAAGAGAAGGTTAAAGACTGGTTTCTATATGTATTCATAAAGGAGAAAAAATGTGATGAGATTTGAGTTTTTGGCATTTATTGCTCTTTATGGGAAGAATATTTTCACAATAATTTTGGTTAGACATCAACTGCACCAATAACACTCAAACTCTGGGAGTAAAAAATGAAATTAATAAATAAACAATGCTATGGGTGCCTATTGAATAAAACTTCAAGGGCCCTACTTTTCTCAAAGCAAAAGCATATAAATCCAGTACAGTACATTTTAATATAATGCTAAAACTATTTATTTTTCAGTTTAGTTTTCTTATTTTGTACAGCCAAAGATATCACTGCTGCTATTCCAAAATTAGTTAGGAGTGCTTGGGGAATCCCAGATGTTTGTCTCTACTTTCTTACCCCTGTCCATATGTAGACTCAAATTTTCCATGCAATTTTCCAACTTGTTAAAACAGACATTCTGAGAAATCTTTATGTTCCCTAAAATGCTATTATGATCCCTTGGCCATTGCTGAGTAGAAATGCCTATCCATACTCAATTACACTTCTAATTTCTAGAGTTGTTAATAATTTGACAAAAAAAAAATGCTTCTCAGACACTTGGTAGTAATTCTGTATTCTGTTTTCAAGAGCAATATAGAGGCATAATTGGTAACTTAAATGCAAAATACTAACAAAAAATATAATCTCTTCCAAATGGTGGTGAGACCAGTTTCAGAGCTAGAAGAAGCACCACCGAGTTGGTCAGAAATTTTGTAGATGCAAATCAGAAATTTCATAGATGCAAAAATTGTGATCTATGAAAAACAAACTTGATTTGAGAATGTATGGCCTCTCATGCCATAAAAGAGAGACCTGACCCATGTGCATTGCATATGCTTGTTTTGGAGACGAGGCAGACACAGATGGTGAGGTGGGAAATTGAAGCCACACTGCATCATAATTTCCTCAGACATTTAAACTTAAACCATAGATCAACTTTATCATAATCATCCAAAAACGTAGTGCAATAAATGCTTATGATGGCGAGCCATAACTATACATGACAATGTTTCATAAAAAACAAAATGAACTTTGAGTCAACCTCATTTATAAACCTCTCAAGTGATTTCTCATCATCACATTTGACTTAGCACACATGCATAAATTGTGAGAAGGTGTGAGGCAATCACAGTGATTGCTGTAATTATCTAAATACCATTGCGACACCTGTGCAATACTGTGTGATCGATGGCTCTGCGATGCTGGAAGATGTGAATGGGAGAGAACATGTTTTCAGAGATCACCAAGATCTTCTGCTCCATAATGATGACTGGCTTAAAAGCCGTTTTGAACTCCCTAGATTATTTCTCTTAGATCTATGTACTGAACAAGGTCCAGTGTTAAGTAAATTAACTCTTTGCCTGAGCCCATTTCAATTAACAACATAATTCTGAATTTATCCATAGGTCTGGGATATCACAATCAGTGCTGAATGCATTAATGACTCTCTTTCTGGATACCATTGTCAACATGACCAGTCGATACATCAGATTTCCATACACTTTCCATACAATTTTCTACACCCATATTGCTGTAAGGGCACCATTTGACAACAGAGTTGTGTATGTAAATAGAAAACAAATTTGTTCCATTAATTTGCAAATTATATGGGAATGCAACATGCACCTGACAAATTTAGGCGTGGCTCAACCCATGATTCACTTATCCTGGTACAAAGCAGAGGTCCTGGATGATGCAAGAATGTTTATATATTGTGTAGACTTTGGTTGAGGGTTGAGGCTGCCTTACAGACCTTTTTTGTTTATATGAAATGTTTTTGTGAATACTTATGGCTCATCAGCGCAAGTATATATCACACTGCATTTTTAAATGCTGTTGATAAAGTCAGGTATGTAATTAAAGGTTTGAGGACATCATGATGCAATGTGGCTTCAATCCCCCACCTCACCATCAGTGTCGCCATTTCCCCTGTCTCCAAAATGAGCTTATGCTGTCCACCTGGGTCAGAGCGAGCATAAGGGACTTCACATTTTCCCATCGAGTTTATTTTTCATAGATCACAACATGGTAAGGCCCCGTTATGTGTACACCAGCTTCATAAATGGGACCACGGAACATTCTTTCCTTAATTCAGCTGAAAGGAAGGCGCAACCTTTAAGCCAAGTTTGTCCTACAGCACATCATGATAAACTCTCTTCCTCTTTGTCTCTTCTACATACATTCTGTCTTTTCTGATGGCTGCCCTGCATGATCTGAATGTTATCTGTGATGGTGTCACTTGATACTCTGTTGTACTCAGGATCAGGTTGCCCACATGCTAAAAGCTGTCAGCTTGGCTGCTGTCAGACGAGGCTCAGATAAGCACACCTACTGTTCTCAGTGAATTGGGCTACAATGTTTCCTCACTTTATTTAATCATCAGTGGACAGGGCCAATGTGCTTTGTAAGCTGAAGCAGAATACAAGTTACTCCATCAGTCATGGATTTAATGTCACCATTAACAATCTCTTTAAAATAAATGCAAGCAAAGTCATTTATGTAAAATATGTTTACAGCTCCAACACGAACTCCTTCTTGTTGATTTATCATATTATCTGTCAGATGTTATTATAAAGGTTGGTTTCTAACACCCTTGTCCCTAGTGGGGTCAGGAGGGGTGCTGGTGCCCATCTCCAGCTAACGTTTCAAGCGAGAGGCAGGATAAACCCAGGACAAACCCTGGACAGGTCACCAGTCTGTCGCAGGGCAACACAGAGTCAAACAGGAAAAACAACCATGCTCACACACACTCACACTTAGGGAGAATTTAGAGAGATCAATTAACTTGACAGTCATGTTTTTGGACTGTGGGAGGAAGCCGGAGTACCCAGAGAGAATTCTTGCATGCACAGGGAGAACATGCAAACTCTGTGCAGAAAGATCCCGGCCTTCTTGCTGCAAGGCAACAGTGCTACCAACTGCGCTACTGTGCAGCTTCCTCTTTGATCATATATAATTTTATTTTGTTATACAGCCAAATTCTCCATCCTCTAATCCATGTTTAATTGCTTTTTATAAAACAAAATGACTGAAAGGTGGTCCATTATAAACATTTGTGATTGTAGCCATTTTCAAAGCAGTGAGGTTGTTTGTCTTTCAGAAAATCTTTATTTTGTTTGTGTCATCTGAGAAAATCATCATTCATGAAAATTAAACAAAGCAAGTGTATGGGTAACAGTTGCGGTATATGTAATATATCTGAGGGAACAATTAGAAGTGACAGCTTCCTCAGCTTGTCTCTTCTGCAATTTCCAACTCACCCAGAGAATGCTGTACAAAACAGCAACCTGAGTTCATCTTCGTTTTGATAGTTATGGCATAAGCTTTCAGTGTGTATCACTATGATTAATGTAAGAAAGAATGGATTATAATCAACTTCAATGTGAGAGGAGAAGTGATCAACATCAAATTGGGCCGTCACAAACACTGTCTGTATGAGCATGCCAGCTGTATTGAGTCTGTCACGCGCACATATTCAGAAAGACACACACATCCTTTGGAAGGGACTATTTTCTGTGCACCATCTCCTTCTGTTATTTAATTCTGAGCTGTGTTCACTTCACATTGTTTAGTACAAGGTTCTCAAAAATGTGAGCGCAACTCATGAACACTTTCATGAACAACAGTGGGACCCAAGTTTACCATACTACGACCTGCAGTGATAAGGATGGTGAGAGAACATGAAAATCCCTGAAGCTCGCTGCTGAAGAACAACAAATTGTCAGAGTGTGACTATGCCACTGCAAATAAGATTATTTTATTTGAAAGGTTTTTACTTTCTTACCATTTACAGTATGAAATTGTGAGGGTTATGCAGTAGAATTTAACATTTTGTAGTTAAGCTCATTGCTTTTTGTTTTGTTTTTTTCAGAGGACCATTTTTGGTTGCAATGGGAAAATCATGGCACAAGGAGGAATTTAACTGTGCCCACTGCCGAACATCTCTGGCAGACATAGGCTTTGTGGAAGAAAAAGGCTCTGTGTATTGTGAACACTGCTATGAAGAGTTCTTTGCACCAACCTGCAGCCGGTGCCAGGCCAAGATATTAGGGGTGAGTTGATATATGAACAAATAAAAAGAAAAGAAATGCCTGATACCTCAATCGAACTAATAGTAAATGAACACGGTAACAAAGAAAATCTCAAATGGATGTGGAGTTCCTCTCAATTTTCACTTTTAACCAGGTCTGTTCTTTGCGGTTTTTGCCACAAAGGTTCTGTACCACTCTTTGTTGGATTGATTTATTATGAGGGCAAACATTATTACATAATTTAAAATAAACACTTAAAGAGCTTCTAAAATGTAAAATTGCCCACCCCCCAACCCCCATCAAAAGTTCACAAATGAAAAGGTTCTTGCAGTCTATCCTGAGTTGAAATATCTATGGTGACCATGACTGGAACTCAGGAATGCAGTGTATGCTCTGAAGTTAGGAGAATTAGCGTTAGAAGCCTTAAAGACTGCAGGTGTGGTTTGAACCCAAAGTGCCAAGAAGCTGAAATCGCATTTCTCTGAGCAGCTCTGACATTTATCCCTCACATGTTCTAACCTCTTTAGCCCCAAACCTTCCAACCCTCCATTTCTCACACATCTTCAACCGGCTTATGGCTTCCTGTTAACCTGTTTTTCTCACTCCTGTTCTTCTAATCCTTCATTTTACTCTGGCACACCAACTTTCTTGTTATAGCAATTTAAGAGTGGGAAAAAGAAAAAAACTTAAGTATTTTTTTAAGTCTAGTCATGGGACTGCTTTAAAAAAATGTTTTGAAGAGATCTTTCAATTACTATCTTTCTGAGATTAATTTATGGAATTGATTCTTTTCTCTAACACTTTACTGAGAAAGTAACACAGTTTATCTAGCATTTGTAAATATACAAATCTGGATACAGTTTTGTATTATGTCTTAAACTATAACCTGTGTTTTACATTTGATGTTTAGGAGGTAATTAATGCCCTGAAACAAACATGGCATGTCTATTGCTTCATGTGTGCTGCCTGTCAGCAGCCAATCAGGAACAACACCTTTCACCTGGAGGATGGAGAACCTTATTGTGAGCAAGGTCAGTAGAAAAGGTGTTGATGTTTGTGCTAATATTTATGTAAGTTCATACAAGTAACATTTTCAGTAAGTGTGATGCTCAATTCAGTTCCTTTTATGTAGTGCGGATTCAGATCAAATGTAATCAATAAGGCACTTTGCAAAATAAATAAATCCAGTGAATTTATAGAAATATAGATACCCCTTTAATGCAATCTTTTTGAAAAGTCCCTTCAGTAACGCCATCACATTTAATAGGTTAATTAGACAAAGATAGGTGTGTTTAAAATGTAGGGTTTTTGATAAGTGGTATTAAAATTAGTCCACTGATTATTCATTCATGAAATATTAATTATTTTGTCAGCAAAGATGTTGACACTGTTTAGTCACATGAAACTGTCTGTAGGTGATATATATGACTCTGCATAAAAAAACTGACTAAGTTTTTGCAGGGCATTCACTGTTTTTTAGCTTGTTTATTCATAGCTAATGAATTACACAGAGTTATACAAACAAAATAATGATGCCACACTGAGATCAAATTACACCAAAGACATATTAGTCAAGTCCATAACAATTCAATAAAGTCAAAATCAGTCCCCTTTTTTCAGTTATTTTGATATTTTAAAAACCGGTGCCCGACATCTCTTTCTAAAGAAGGAAGTTGATAAAATCAAATTTAAAATAACTGAAGTAGTAAATTCAGTCTGTAGGTGCATCACTGTTAACATCCCCAGTGCTGTGGGTTGTTGGATATGATTAGCTCTGGATACCACTAGGAAGCCAAATTAGAACAAGTGTGGGTTACATGTGGTCCATGTTTCAGTGGTTTTCTGATGTGAGACACAGTTGCTCACTACCTGTAGGCTTCTGAAGGGTACTGTGTGGGTACTGGATGACTGTACAATCCGGTGATTGTAAACATTGACTAGGCTGATTAGACTTGGAGATATTGTTTCATCCTACAGTAGAAACACCCAACAACCATGTGACCATATGAAGAAAAGCACAAGTTTACCTCATTTGAAATGGAATAATTGGATTTGTATTCAAAGCTGTGTTAATGAAGTTATTTAGTTTATTATTCTTGCTGTCTGTAACATATTGTTCAGGCATTTTTCCTTTGAAAATCTCTGAGAGAATGATGTTACTGAATAGTTAGTGTGAAGATAAAAACTGATTGCTTAAAAAAATATTTTTCTTATTTGCAAAACAGACTTTTACAGTTTGTTTGGAACTGGCTGCCATGGCTGTGAGTTCCCTATTGAGGCTGGAGACAAATTTCTGGAGGCACTCGGTTACAACTGGCATGACACCTGCTTTGTTTGTGTTGTAAGTGAAAATCATACACACACTCTTAGCGTCGTAGACCTGACAAACATAATGTATTGTGTGATGAAGCATAATGATGTACCCATTTTTAAGCAATTGAGAGACTTCTAATGTTTTAGGTTTGTGCTATTGTCTCTTTTTTGCTATTCTGTTTAAGCAACAGTTAATTCATTACAGTTCAGCTTCAAATTGTGTGTAAATCTAACGGTTTTTTCACAGGTATGTTGTGCCTCTCTGGAGGGTCAGACCTTTTTCTCCAAAAAGGACAAACCTCTTTGCAAGAAACATGCTCACACAGTGAAGATATGAACCTTCGCATGCCTCTCTGCCTCTATTCTCTCTCTTGTCAAAGGATGCAGAAATACTGAGGGCTCATATTTACCAGTGGATTGTTCTTTGACCAAGTTAATTGAAGCTATAACTAAGCAGACCACTTTTATTTTAACTCTTTAACGGAGGTATTGGATGGGGGATAATACAAAATCTTTCTTGAGCTTTATATCAAACCAGGGGATTTTCTTTGATTCTTTCATACATTTGAAAGAATGTATTAACAAAGCTCAGCCTTGGAGTTGCAGTCTCCAGTCAAGCACTTGCCCCTCAGAGTATCTCTCCCTCACTGCTAATGCAGTCAGCATATCACTTTTTGAACAGAGTGTCTTCTGCACTTATTTTAAAAACCACCTCTGTCGAATGCTTTCGCTGACAATTTTGGAGGATTGTAAATACAATCTAGTTTATACAATTTAAAATGTCCTTAATTTTAATTTCCTAAGAACAGTTGTAAACAGCAGAATGGATGAGTTTTGTTGTGAAGATGTGCAGCGTGTCGAATTGAGTAGGAGCTTCTTAAACAGACAGATGCCCAATTTCAAGGCATCAAATTGCAAAGTCATAATTCTTTCAAGTCATATTTGACATATGCAGCATTTTTATAATAACTGAAGGTAACATAATTTCTTGATCATGCTATAAAATGACACTATTTGGCTGCAAGCACATTATACTACCCCATGAAATAAGTTCATTGTACTTATGCACACAAGACACTGTAAATCATTTTTGTAAGACCACCACAGTTAGTCATAATTTCTTACACAAAAGTATTCATTACATATTAGTATTCAGAATCTCAGTATTTGTATTAAGATTAACTAAATGTGGATGTGTTATTTTAATAAAAGATTTTAACTAAGCATCTCAGATAATCATTGTATCTTTCTTTTTTATTGTATTTTCATGCTGTTTTCCAAAACTTACTTGAAGTTTCCAAACAGAAAAATATATAACAAAATACATTTTTAACAGCATTATTTATTCTGGTTGATTGACAAAAAAACTTCAAAAAATAAATATTAACATCTGACATAAGTAAATGATCTGGCAAGTATTCATTTTATATTTCCTCACACTCAACACCTTAGTGAGGGACATACATTTTTTTTAAAATTGTGTTCTATTATTAATGAAAAATGTTTGTGTTTTTATTCATTGTTTTATGTTTCAACTTCACCTCAAAAAGACAGATGATCCAATATTTTTTGAGAAACCGTTCATCACAGTCTGTATCCCAGGAGGTACTGTGTGTGTGTGTGGGGGGGTGCGTGTCTTCCTGTGTGTGTTTTATTGAGGGGAACACTTTAATTTACTTTGAATATGTAATTGTCTTGATATTTCTTCTAGATTTGTACTAAATTATAATGAAACTAGGTAAAAAGGACAAGATTTCACATTGTCTGACCAAGCGCAGACTAGATTGTGTGTAGAAAGGTAGCATATATATTATAAAAGTACCGGCATAGTACACAAAAGTATTTACATGTCATTTTCATTATCTCTCAAAATATGTTTGAACATAAGTTAAATGTACCTGTGTTGTTCAATAAATTGTGATGTTTAACCCTCCTAGTGGGTGTGTTTCTTCCATTTCTACTTTGTGTATATGAGAAACTGCTTTCCCACATTAAATCAGAGTTAGTTGTCAATGCACCTCTCCAAGACTTGATTCCAGACCACGGGGCTGTATGCCTGCACTGCATGCTCACTTGAATATTGTCAACAAAAGCCACTAGCTACATGAAATATTCAAAAGATTTTATTTTGCTGATGAGAAATACTTTTTGTCATGACCGTTTTTTTCTTCATTTTCATCAAAGAGAAGCTGAATAAAAAATATGCAAAAAATATGCAAAATCAGAACTACATTGAAAGTAGTCAAAAGAACGTTTTTAATTATATACTTTTATTGCTATTGTAAGATTATTTAGAAAACTAGCCAAGGCTGTCATAATGTTTTCTTGATTTTCCTGATAAAAATAAAACTGCTATTATAATGTAAAATATAGATCTAATTCTCTTCAGTCCTAGAATAAATGTTTTACATTTGGGTAAGAGGATGATTTTCAACAAAGATGTCAGAAGCCGTAAAAATTTAACTCCTGTTTGTCTTCATACAATGCAACATGATTGACAGCAAATTCTTTGACATAAATGATGTAAGTTTTTGTAAACTAAAATTAAAATACCCGAATGTCTAAATTATGACTAAATACATATTTTATTCCAAAGATTATGGCTTAGACTTAATTAAATATTGTAGATCTTACACAACTCAATGTTAAAAAAGTCCATAACTTCGTAATGTTTAGACATTTTGTGTATGTTTCTTTAGAAACACTCTTTCAGCCATTTAAACCCCAGAGGAGGCCAAAAGGGGGGGAAACATCACTCACATAACCCTATTTCTGAAATTTTAGGACTCACACAGTAGAGAACATATCAGTTTCAAAACTCAACTAGAAAAAAAAAACGTAACCAGTTCCAGTTTATAATATAAAACACAAAAAAAATGAATGATTTGTTCCTTCTGTTTGTTGGGTGAGCTGCTGTGGAAAATGGGGGGCTGATCGAAGAGCCCACGAGTTGGTTGCTCGCTTCTCCGCCTCTGATCGTGGGGAAAACTGAGTAGGAGAAAAGTGCTTCAACTTCGGTCTGAAACCACAGAGACGCGAACAGAAACTTTCATTCCGGCATGGAATAAGAAAGCAACGACTCATATGAAGGTGAGTAAATGACATAAACGACGCAAATTACGCTTAAACGCAGCGGGTTTGACTTAGATTAAGTTGTTTCGTCTTGTGCGCGATGATGAAGTTTGGCAGACTCAACGCTTTTTGTTGTTGTTGTCTTCAGGGTTTTGACAGTCCACTCGTGAGGCTGACTTATTTACTGACAATTGAGATTCCGCTTTCTAGCTGCAACACCAGACAGCGATTTAAATAAGAACTCTGGCTTTACTCGGTCGTAACAGCGGTAATCTTAGTATTCTGCGCTCGTCGTTGTGTGACACATGTAGCTATATTTATTTTTTAACTAAAGAAATTCAATAAATAACTTAGAGCTGAGTTTGCGGTCTTTTAACACTGCACACTGTCCTCTGCCAGCACAATGCGTCATTCTTTCTAGTACATTTTTTGTCATTACTATCTTCATAATCTATCTGAAGATGTGGGCATCAATTCATTTTCGCACCTTCAAAACAATTGTTTAAAAAAAGGCTTGCAAGATTCGTAGAGTTCCCCTTGTCAAGAGGACACAGTAGAGGGAAAAAACAGAACAACAGCCTGTAGCAATGAACAACCCGCAGCCCCGTATTCCCCACGCACCGCACTTATATTCACAGGCATGCACACAGTATTCCAACTCTCCCTGTGAGTCCAGTAACCAGCTCCAGGTGTTTCCCAGAGTGCTTATGACAAAAAGTGTAGCTATCTGCAAAATGTGTGTATAGGCAATCATGTGAGAGTATCCATCCAGATGGCACAATAGTTCCAGGTCTTATCTCACCTCATCTGTGAAGGTGCAGGGGTTTGAAGACAAGGGAACCCCGCGGGAAAACACGCAACAACTATGAGACAGAAGTTCAGACAAGTATGAGTGTGTGCGGGTGTGTTTTTCTCATTTGTCAGAAAGGTTTTGTTGTTGTGATGTCAGTGGGTAGTTAAGTCTTATTCAGGTCAGGAATGTATCTCGCAAATCTAAAAAACCTGCCACAACCTCAGCTGTGTCTCACTTAGCAATGCAAGGAAAACAATTTTCGTCTGTGCACAAAAGAAAATATACATATGCTTGCACTCCACTACATCTACATGAATACATGCAGTATGACACAGACTGGTGGAAATTCACATCACATTAGACCTAGTGCAGGTCCTTAACTGACTCCCTAAGAATAGCAAATAAGTCAGAAACAAACTTAATTTGTACTTATCTGGAAAGAAGCTGAATGAAACACCAAAAGAAAAAAGCTGACACGAGATATTTTCATTACATTTACTTGGCCCAGTCAGGGAAAATCCATGCTTGCTGAGGTTAATTCAGTCTCTAAAGAATTTGAAAAATTCACAAAACATATCACTGCATGACTGCTGCACTTGTATTTTAAAACTTTGTTGATTACAGTGATTGAATCAGATGAAATGCCGTATGGTTTTGAGGGCTACACATAGGTGGAAAATAACTGGTAACGTAAAACAAAAATTAAGACTGCAGGGTAAGGAGAGATTTAAAGTCTGTTCAGGTGAACTTGAGGACAGTTTGCTGGTGCTAAGCCTTCCTTAGATCAATTTCCTCTACTTAGAATAGGAGGCGATAAGGATCAAAAATAAACCCAGATAAGCCCCTTCAGCCAGAGGCTGTCCTCTTGAAGATCTGACTCATTTTTAATTACTGTGTCAAGGTGATTTATTGAGATGTTTCAAGATTCTTCTTTACCTGAGTTCCCAGATTAATCTTCCACATTCTGCATTTTTTTAAACTTTTTTTTTTTTTAATTTTTAAAACTTAATATTCTGAAATAATAAATCACACAAAATAACATGTCGCTGACATGACTCCAATTTGTCAGCAGACTCCAGGCTCTGTCTTCCTGAACAAATGTAAAAACAACCACAGAAAAGTTTTTGTTGATGTTCTTTGTGGGTTTGTGAGCGGTTTGAAGCTCAGTTTTATTACTGATCCCTGGAGGAAACAAATCTATGCACACCTCACCACATCTTGATTAATGTGAAACCTATAAATATGATTAAGGAGTGAGGTTCTAAAATGTTGCGAAAATAGTTCCTCCATGGGTCCAATCAGTAACACAAGCAGCTCATGAAATGATTGGTATTTACTTTAGGATTGATAGACTCGTTCATATATGTATATAAAAAAACACCTATTCACCTCAGTCTGGATACAGTCACATCAACTTGTGTTATGAAAAGTCCTGACATTTTTGTTAATGTTTTTTTTTTTTTTTTACTACTTTCTCTAGTTTTTTTATGGGTAATATGAGACACTTGACTCCACTCAACCCTGTTCTGCAGGGCCTGTTTTTTTGGAAAAGATTGTGTACAGTAAATACTCCATTGCTTGAAGAGTTCCTTTAGTATTTAGACTAACTGTTTACAACAGCAGACCAGGAGCAGACTGCACTCTTCAAACTGTTTGTAAAACAAATATACTCATATTGTCTTTGTTAAAAGAGCAGCCAAAAAACATTGTCTAAAGTTAGCTATGCAGTTTTTAGATACAGTTCTGCTGTAAAGCAATTATTTTAAAACACTTAAGTCTCAACATATTGTCCAGTTGTTTAATTGATGTGGAAACACAAGGCTAAGCTGCACTGCTACAAATAAACAATAAATTACCTTTGCTGCACTATAAATCAGTTTTGGTAAGTAGACTACTGTACCACACTGTAAAACAAGTTGCAATTGTAGAGAGAAAATCTTTTTTTCGTTTCAAAGAAATACATTCGTATATAGTTAATGCTGATTAACATACATTTAAGTTGGTTTGCCTACCACAAATAATTCTGGGAAAATTAACTAGGATACAATATGTTGTGAGGAATAAAAGGCAGCAGTTGAAATTAATCTGATGAACTTGCCATAAGAAAATCCAAAAATAATAATGATGAACATAATCAGGAGTTAGGGATTTGTTTTTTAATCTGTGGGTTGCTGGTTTGAATCCCGGCTCTGTCCTTCTCAAAAGTTTTTCTCTCTGGCTAAAACACCTGCCTCGCCTGCTGGTGGTTTTGGAGTCCTCAGACTTGATAACATGCTATCGAAATGCAGATCATTAACAATTTATCATAACACATGTGATGCTTTCTTCTAGTTTTCATTCAGCATCAAACATAATTCAGTTGCACAGTCTTAATCTTCAGCTCCTTGACCTATCCCTTTTCGATGTGTGGACATTTAAACAAAGAAACTTTTTCTAGTTCCTGATGCAGGACTCAGAAGTTCAAACCATTCCTTCTGATGATCTTTCTGTTTTTGCTTCCTTTGAGAGATGTGACCAGGAGCTGGCTTTGGTGAAATACTTGAAATCTTCCAGCTGTGCAGTCGTGGATAATCATAGCAATCAGTAAATCATTGTAGAACACAGAACTGCCTTCAGAGCAGCTTGGTTGATGGTGTAGAGCAGATTTAAATGATGATTTATTAGGTGGATTAATAGGCCACATGATCAGTTTAACCTTGTGTCCCACAGGGAGGATGTGAAAACATCTTACCAGCCAGCGTCTGATCTCATTTAATGCTCTCAAGTTTAAACTGGTCTCAGTGTTCAGACACTCTGTTCTCTCTTGCTTCATATTTAGTTTTTTTTTTTAGCATTGTGCTTGTAGAGCTGTCCCTCGTCAGGCTTTTTAATCGCTCTCTACGATTTGGTCACTTTTATTTTCACTAATGTTTTTTTAAATGACTGTTAGCAACAAGAGTCCTCATCCTAAACACCAGTAGGTTAAGCCCTAAGGGGGTTTCAGCTCATACAGTTTTACTTTGAACTTTGATTCTGTTCTTTATTTTTTTGAACCTCAGCTCTTTTTTGTGTTTGGCTTGGCTGAATTT